TTCCGCGAAGTCCTCAGCCAACTGCTGCGCTGATCTCTTGTATCCTCGATGGCTTGTGAACGAGACAGGAAACGAATCACCCATGAACCATTAACCAAAAGAATTGCGGCGCCTCACATGTGCAGTGTTGCTGCCAATGCTCCATTGCAAATCCGATAGGCCGAGTCCTGTGGAGGCTCGAACTCCGCGCTGTACGACCATGCAGCGAGGACTGGGATATGGTTATTGTAAGACAGCGGGTAATTGCCCTTCAGCCCCTTGGCCTCCGCGCTTCAGTTGCCGAAGGGGCGAGCGCATGCTCCAGCCTCACCTCGCCGATGTGCTTGAATATCCTGGACATGGGCCTCGTAGTTTGCCATTCCTTGTCGTCCACCATCCGACCGAGGGACGTGTAGCGGCTGCCCCAAGAATGTTGTGCGACTACCACTTGGTCTGACGACGTGAAAACACTCCAGCGGGCATGAGTCATGCAGCTGAGAGCTGCCTGTCATCATTGGGGTGATTGGCGGCGGCACGACCACCACGCGGCCGCACTCAATCTCCTGCCAGAACTCGCTGCTCCAATAGAGCCCTAGACATGATCAAGAGGTCGCCAACATGATGATAAATGCGGAATGCGTTCTGGCTATTGCTTTTTCGGCGAGCTCCATGGCCGCGAAGATGGCGAAGCCGACCTGCACGACGACGCCAGCGAAGGCGCAGCGGCAAGGACTTCCGCCACCGTTCTGGACGCCGATGTAGCCGCAAGCTGGTATCGCCAGTTCCAGCACGGCCAAGAGGCACATCGGTCTGGCACGTCCGGTCCACTGCGTTTCACAGCTCACCACCGCCGCCGGCACGGGCACGGGCAGCACGCTGGAGATGGACGTCTCGACCGGCGACTTGCGGCACCCTCAGTCCGCCATCGGACCTTGGGGCGGGCCTGGCAGCGAGCGAAATGTGCGGTAGCGTCGCCACGCGCAGAGCTGGCCGTGGCGCGTAGGGGTCCCAGCGTGGCTTGCGTCCAAAGCTTGCGCCAAAGGCCTGCGCAACGCTTGAGCCAAAGTGTCTACATACCTCCTCCTCCTCCCCGCCTCCTCCGCCTTCCCTCCTCCTTCCCCCTCCCCCCTCCCCCGCAGGACTGCGACACCCGACGTCACGACCTGGACCTCTGGGGCCAGCTTCTCATCCTGAGCTTCTCTGAAAATCCCGGGGCCCAACACGGGCCCCTGGAGACCCAAATTGGGATCAGCCTGGGCGCAGCTCGTTGTTTCGCATCGCCAGGACATGGCGGAAGACCGCCGAAGCCGCCGAAGACCGCCTTCCTCAGACCCTTCCCCAGCGCGCAGAGCACGAAAGGGGTGGCGCCGCAGGCGCCGCCAGGGGTGTGGGGAGAAAGGCCTGGGGCCCCCCTCCTCTCCTCACTTCGCGGGCAAGAGACAAATCAATCTCAGACTCACAGCCTCGCGGTCTCGTCTCGAAGGCCGCGGCCCCGCGGATGCAGGGCGGCTTTTTGAGCGGACGCCTCGTGCGAAGCGCATCCGTGCAGTCTCGCACACATGGGATCGCGTCTCGGCGCCGAACTCGCGAGGGCATGGAGAATTACGGATCGCGTAGGAATCCGCAGCAGCGGATAAGAGAGCGAGGGGTGGCCGCGAGCCTGACCGCGCGCACCCCAGTGGGACGAGCCCTCACCAACTCCCCTGGCTGAGCTCCCCGACTCACTTCTGCGGCGAACCCAGAGCGGACGAGGGACGAAGTAAGACCGTGCGGACACCCCCTCTCCGAATATGCTCGACGCTCGCAACCCCCAGCTCGCCCTCCTCGCCTGCCCCCCTCCGCCCGAAAGAACAGAAGACGCCCCCCCGGCTGGTGGCCACCTACGACCGCCGACGGCCGCTGGAAGCCGCCGACGGCCAACGGCCGCAGACGGCCGCCGAAGACCGCCGAAGACCGCTGAAGGATGCCGAAAGCCAACGAGGGCCGCCGAAGGCCAAGGGATCTGGCGACCCAAACCCCCGACATTATATTGGGTGGGCCAATAAAATCGGTGGCCAAACTTTGGGATGTACCGCAGGAGGGCGGTCATCCTCGATGGCTGCGCGTCCGAGTGGCACCCTGGGGGTTATCCCTGGGTGATGGTGATGATGACGGTGATGAGGATGATGGTGATGACGATGAGGATGTTGTGCTGATGGTGATGACGGTGATGGTGATGGTAATGAGGAGAATGATGTTGAGAACCATCATCATCATCAGCATCAGCATCAGCATCAGCATCAGCATCATCAGCATCAGCATCAGCATCAGCATCAGCATCATCAGCATCATCAGCATCATCATCATCAGCATCATCATCAGCATCATCATCAGCATCATCATCGTCATCGTCATCATCATCATCATCATCAGCAGCAGCATCATCATCATCATCATCATCATCATCATCATCATCAGTATCATCATCGTCATCATCATCATCAGCATCACCATCATCATCAGCATCATCATCCATCGTCATCGTCATCGTCATCGTCATCATCATCATCAGCATCATCATCAGCATCATCATCATCAGCATCAGCATCAGCATCAGCATCAGCATCAGAATCAGCATCAGCATCAGCATCAGCACCATCGTCATCGTCATCGTCATCGTCATCATCATCATCATCATCATCAGCATCATCATCATCATCATCATCATCATCAGCATCACCATCAGCATCATCATCTCGCTTCACCTTTTCTGAGCGGCCCACGTTGTCGGGCGAAACTGTGGAAGCGGGTTCAAGGAACGAAATCTCCCCGGTCTCGTCTCAGAGAGCGGGGTGCATTCTGCCACACGCCGACCACCCCCCGGCCGGCAGTGCGAATGAGAAGTTCTGCCACGCACCTGTCCCCTTGGCGGGGGGGCACTCCGCGTGTCCATCCCGCATTGCACGCGCGCGGTCTCGTGCGCAGGCCTGCACGACAGTCAGTGCTTCGGACGTGGCCCGCACTCCCCGCCTGGGGACTTCGAGGGCCGTCCGCTGTGCGTGAGCGCCTGTGTGTATCCCCCGCCCGGCAGGGGGCTCTCCTCCGACCATCCCGCGCCTGGCAGAGCGGGATCAAATCTGCCGCGAACCTTTCCCCCTGGCTGGGGGCAATCCGCCTTTCCTTCCCCCCTCCCGTCCTCTCCCCACCGTTCCCCCCCCTGCGGCACAGCTCTCTGCTCCGCGCGCGGTCCACCTGGCGCGCCGTCGGCCGCCCCCTCCTGTCTACCCCCCCGCCTTCGTCTTGTGCCTCCTCGCTTCCTCCCTCGCCTCCCTCCTCGCCTGGCTCCTTCCCATCTCCGTTGTCTTGGCTTGCTTTTGTGGCCTGCTGTGCCCCATTGCTCCCCCTCGGCTCCCCCTCCTCCGTCGGTCGGCCCCGTCCCTCGCATCCGTCCGTCTGTCTCTCGCTGTCGCTCCTCACTCCTCGCTTCCCCCTCTTCTTCGCTGGCGGGCTTTGGCCTTTGGTCCGTCCTGAACCCCTGTCCCGCCCGCCATCTCTGGTGGGTTATCTCCAGCTCGCCGAAGTCAGGTGGGCTTCTGCTCCCACGGCGTCCTGGTGTGAATTGCTTCGTGCCAGCGCCTCGCTGCTGCGCGCCCTGCGCCCAGCTCCCCCCCTACTGCCCTGCGGTCGCTGCGCCTTGCCCGCCGCGGCTGGCGCCACCACCCTGCGAGTGCCCAACCACTTTCTTGACCGACCCGCGCGCGCGCGCCTGTGACACCTCTTTGACGGGATGGCGATGCACCTGCCCGCGGACGACGGAAACGTGTGTGAAAGTATATGTGTGTGAGTGTGTGAGAGTGTGCGTGTGCAATTGGTTTTGTGTGTTTGTGTGTTGTCTTTGTGCTTCTGGCTGTGTTTGTGTTTATTTGTGTGTTTGCATATGTGTGTGCGCGTGTGTATGATTGCGCTTGTGTTTTTGCTTGTGTTTGTGCACGTGCATGCGTTTGGTGCTCGCGGTTGTGTTCTTATACGTGTGTGTGTGTGCGCCTGTGTGCTGTGGTTGTGGCTGTGCTGATGCTCGTGCTTGTTGTTGTGCTTCTCTCTTTTTTGTGTAAGAAGGGCCGCGCGCCCGCTCCCAGAATGAGCTGCGGTGCCAAGCACGACGCGACGCAGAGCGGCCTGATACAGTCAACGCCGGAGTTACAGTGGGGGCCCGACCTAGAGGCCTCCTAGATGGGGTCGGAGTAGATGGAGTCGGAGGATCGCGCCGCATCGCCGATACATTGTCGATGCATCGGCGATGCATCGGTGATGCATCGGCGATGCATCGCCGACGTCGGCGATACATCGGCGACGTCGGCGTGGAGAAAATCGGGCTCCGCATCGAGCCGCATCGTCAATGCATCGGTGATGCGGCGCGCTCCTCCAACCCCATCTACTCCGACCCCATCTGGAAGGCCTAGACGACCACAAGAAACCTTCCACCAAAAACCCAACCCTGAGACCCCAGGACGTCCATCGATTTTTGGTGTGGAAGCGTCACGCTTTCCATGGCAAAACCATCGAACCCCCAAAAAACCCAGGGCACCCCGAAGGCGAGCAGGGTGATTCTTGGCACGGCTTCCCACTGTAGCCGATGGCATGGCGCGCCAGCAGGCGCCAATTAAAACCAGAAGCAACGCCGCGCCCGCCCACGACGGGTCCAGGAGAAGTCGGCCAATGGAGGGCGGGCAACGACGCTACGGACTAAACATCGCTCGGATTTCCGCCCCTGCGGATCCGCCGCCGCTGGTGCCAAAAACAAGAACTCAGCAATCTTGACGCAGCTTCACTAAATGGCTTGCGCGCCCACCCGCCAACTGGCAACGGTACCCTAGGTACATGTGCGGTGGGGAGCGGTGGGGAGCGAAGTTGATGGGCACATGTTCCACCACCACTACCATACGTAGGACAGGGGAGAAGGGAGGATGAGGAGGTCCTCCTCCTTCTCCTCCTCCTCCTCCCTCTCCTACGTATGGTAGTGGTGGTGGACAAGGGGCCCATCTGAAGTGAGATAAAAGTGTCTGAGATCCTGGATTCAGCGCAGAGAACGAGCTGGCTCCCTTGAACTGTGTCTGTTGCTCTCGCTCGGCGGCGCCACTGCTCAAAACAGCACAACGCCCGGGGGTGCTGAAGACCGTCGTGACCACACGGGCCAGAGCTGGCAGAAAGAGGTTGGGGAGGAGAGCAGGGAAGGGGAGGGAGTCGGATGCAGACATACTGACCTTCCAGAGCAGATATTAGCTTTAGGTCGGGCATGTCCACCTACAGAGGGATTCTGGGCGAATAGTGAAACATAGTAAAACAAACTACCCCAACATGGTCAAACAAAACAAAAACGTCCCCATAGTTTTGACAATTATGTTTGAACATGCATCCTGTAGAGTGACAAACCCGGGTTCACATTGGCTCTGGGTGGCGGTGTGCAAGGCAGCGGCGTTGCCTGGCCAATGCCAGGCCGCGGGAAGCAAGGACTGATTCCCTCACCCAGCGGCTGCCGCAAAAGAGAGCGTTGGGGCGAAGGCGACTTGTCCGAGGGAAGCGCAGGGGCTCCTCAGCGCTTCTGAGGGTGATTGATCATTTGTTGTTTATGACGGGGGGATCGCTCGAGGCTCGGTAACTCTCTCTCTCTCTTTCTCTCTCTCTCTCTCTCTCTCTCTCTCTCTCTCTCTCTCTCTCTCTCTCTCTCTCTCTCTCTCTCTCTCTCTTCCCCCATATATACACATACATACACACACGCACTCTAGAACCATCGCGCGCGTTTCGCGCGCGCTCAAGTTCTAGCCCAGGCCGGGGGGGGCGCTGGATGATCCTGGACAAAGCTATCAAACACAGGAGCGTGACATAGTCCTGCCTCCTGAGGGCCTCTAGGGGGCCTATTGGGAGTTCATGGGGTTTTGAAGGGGGTTGGGGGGCCCAACCAGAAGCTTCGCCTAAGGCGAAGCCCATATCCAACTCTGTTGTACCGTACGCATGATAGTCCCAGAAGTAGGAGATCGTCGCGGGAGCGACGGGCCATGACAAGCGAAAGTGTGTTCGGTCTCGATGGCAACTAGTGTGCCTCGCGATGAGGCACAGTCATATGATGGCGGCCGGCCGATTGAAAACAAAGGGCCGCGGACACACGTTTGCTATCTCTCGCCTTTGCCCTAGCCTCCCTTAGAATCGGGGGGGGGACGAAGCGTGAGTCCGCCGCCCGCTATACAATAAGCACTACATACACAAGGTCGGCAGCAGCAGGCGTGCTCAACAAGGAAGGTTGACCCGCAAGAAAGTGCCCTTGCAAGCAAGTTGCCTCGCAGGCAAATCACCCTGCAAGCGATTGCTCATCAAGCGGCTCAGACGAGTTTGTCTGGCCAGCCTTGTACGGAGCATGTCGTTTTAACTCGTGCTTCAAGAATTAGGTTTCTCTCATTACCTGTGAGGACATATATCGCTCGATGTTCCCTCTGGTGTGGCCGCCCGCAGTCATGTCACGAGTGTCACACCACTGTGCACCATGCGCGATACGTCGCTCCATCGCCTGTCGTACCCAACTGATGTGTCCCAAACGAGTACCCTCAGTAGATTTCTCCAGCTCTCTGCTCGACAACACCTTGAAGACGCATCCCGCATCGATGGCCAAAATGACCTTAATGCAAAGGGCGCCCTTCTCAAGTATATATTTCAACTGAGTAAGTGCCAGCGGCCCTGCGTGGAGTTCGTGCAGAGTGACGCTCGTGCGATAGCAGTCCTCCAAGTTATGGGCTGCTGCTAATGCCTCCGCTGAGTAGCTCGAGCGGACGTGCAGGCGGTGAGACTGCAGTGCGCGTCGATGAGATCGACGACAGGCTTACCAGCAGGCGTGCTTCCACGCCGTAGTAGGTTTGCCCCGCGAGTGCCATAGCCTTTCGACCTCGTCCCCGGCATCTCCACGAAGACGCCATTAACTGGAGTCGCTGGGCAGGTCGACCTCGCCCGTTGGAGTCATCGAACGGTAAGCGATCTTCTTAGGGCAAGCCTGCAACTTTCTGGTCATCGCGCTCAGTCATCGCACTTGCATGTTGGTCGGTTATTGGACACGTTGTACATATTGAATCAACCACGCATGTGTGATTAAAGCGTAAGCCACAGCGCCTCTGAGGCTGACATGCACGTCAGCGAGCACCTTCGATGCTTCGGCGTCGGCGCCTGCGCCAACGAGTTCAGGATGTCGTGTAAGACGGGGCGAATATTGGAACTTGTCTCGAACTCCTCGTCGTAGGACGTGGGTATGAGACCAGACCCTCTCGCGGTCTATCTGTGTTTCAGCGAGAAGGCTCTTGGTGCGTCCATGGTTTCGGCGCCTGGTTTGAGGCGCTGCATGAAGTGTTTCGACTCGTCGCAATGCTCAAATCCTGGGAGGGGTCTGATCACAGATGCTGATCCACGCGGCAGTGTAAAAGCGCACCACGCGTTCCTTTCCACCGGTTGCCTCAGCAAGTTCCTGATGATGTCAAGGGAAGCAATGGCCCGTTGCTTCTTGCACGCTGCCGCGCTCGCGAGTAGCCTCTGACTTGACCGCCGCGCCACCCCTGACAAAGTCTCCGCGCCGAAGGCTTCGATGTCAATGAAACCTCAAGAACTAGGCGTAGTCTAATGGTCCGTTCCATCTCGCTCTTCTCGTTCGTGGCGAACTTCCACTTGCATGCGCATCTCGAAGTCATGATGTTTGGATTTCTCGCACGTTTAAACACTTGCTGTCAACGCGTGTCTTGAGCCCAGGGCATGGGGCATCACAAACCTTGACTGGATTCGCCTGGATGCCAGCCTTCGCGAAGAGGTCGCCCTCCTTGACGACTGCAGCTCTTTTGGCGGCAGCGGTCGCACATGCTCGCACAGTGGTCACACGGTCGAAGTTTAATATATTGTGTTGTTGTTCGGACACGACTACCTGTGGCATGTCTGCAGTGAATCAACAAACTATATACCGCGCGTGCTCGTCAACGCCCACTCCGCAAGTGTCGTCTTCGTCCGTGGAGCACAGTGGGACATGATTTGTCTCCGTGGCGTCGATACCGCGTGGATGACCCCACGTAGGCCGGTGCCCCCGCTGTTCTTCAGCTACTGTGACCAGCACACCGTTGTCGGGGATCATCTGAGTGGGTACAGTGTAGAGGTCGTGTATTGGAGATGCCTCCAGTAACTCTGTTTCCTCCTGCAGTCCTGCGTGCCACGCATCCAAAATACGTGCCTCAAGGTCCGCTTCTGATTCCTTATACATAAGAGGAAGCCGTCCGTCCTGCTGCGGTGGTTCGGCTTATGGGGCTTCTCCGGCGTCTTTGTCCTGCGTCGGTGCGTCAGCCAGTTCTCCAAGTTGCGTCATGTCTTGGTCGAAGCCCGCTTGAGGTTTAGTGAACTTCAGGCATTGGATGATCCTCGCTTGCGCTGGTCCAATTATATCGCATATGTTTAAAGCAGTGCATTCGGCTGCGTAATAGTGGAAGCCTGGGTTCACGTCGCTGTCATAATGCACCCGTGCACCACTGTCAGCATATTCCACCGGAGGTAGCCTGTGAATACTCTTAGTTAACCCGACGGAGACTACGTTCTCAATACGGGAGAAGTTCCTGATGAGGCATTGAAGAACTAAGTGTACCTCAGGAGATGGTCGGCTCGCGCGTGTCATATGCAGCTATCCCGTTTGGTCGGGATATAACCAAATGTGATGGCGATGAATGCCAATGCTGCCCGTCGTGCAGTGTTGTCTGAGCCAATTTCTCGAGCGAACAAAGCTTCGATGTATAGTGAATGTTGTGCGTCGCCGCATTGGACTTGCCCATCGCGGTCGCCCACCCCGATGATGACTTGACCCTTGTCGGGGTCATTTCGCACGACCGCGAAATGGCCATTCCAGCCTCCCCAATCGTCCTTTGTAGCAGTGGGGCGATGGTAGTCAACCAGATCTCCTTCGCCATAGTAATGCTGACCCGTGATAGTGGTAATGGTCCGCAGTGCACGGTTGGATTCGGCTACTGCAGTGGCTTGAGTGACAGCCTTAATGCTTACCCGGCGGATAGTCTGTTCTCGAGAGTGGTAAGATGTTTCTGTCTGCTGTTCATGGTCCAGAGCAGGCAAGTCGGGTAGCATCGCTGGCTGCGTCCAAACAGCGCGCTGCGTGGAGAAACCTCAGGTAAGGCTTCATGCAGTTGTCGTGTGAGCACAAGAGGTATGTCTAACCTGTTGAGTTCAGCTTCCATGACGTGAAGTGAGTGTCGTAGTATGCCGCTTCTGGCTTCTATTGTCGTAGCATGTTGACCATGCGCACGTAACCTCAGCTCAATGCCTTTCGCCTTAAGGACTGCCTTGGCGGTGGCGTTGTTCCCTACCTAGGCTCTGCCTAGAAGGGTTCTTACTCTCTGGGCTTAAAGGGCCCGGGCAGCGGATAGCGCCCCGGGCGCTTCCCCCGCCATCCGCCCCGCGGTTCCCCCAGTTACGTCCCCTGGGTTCACCCAGCTTAGCTTAGCTAAGCTAAGCTTCACCAGTTTAGCTTAGCTTATCTCATCTTAGCTTAGCTTAGCTTTGCCTAGCCCAGCTTGGGTTAGCTTAGCTTGGCTCAGCTCATCTCATCTTAGCTTACCTTAGCTTAGCATAGCTTGGCTTAGCTTGGCTTAGCTCAGCTTAGCTTAGCCCAGCCTAGCTTAGCTTGGCTTACCTTAGCTTAGCTTAGCGCAGCAGTCGCACAGCATAGCATGGCATCGCATAGCCAATCATAGCATAAAGTAGCATTGCTCAGCATAACATAGCACTTCATAACATATCATGGCATAGCATACCGCAGCACATCATAGCAATGATTAGCATCGCACAGCGCATCATAGCATAACACAACGTGGCGTAGCATAGCAGAGCACAGCAAATCACATCATAGCATTAGCATAGCATCGCATAGCGTAGCATGGCATATCATGACATAGCCTAGCATACCATAGCGCAGCATAGCATAGCATAGCATAGCATAGCATAGCAGAGCGCAGCATAGCATTGCATATCATAGCATCGCGCAGCGTAGAATAGTATAGCCTATCCTAGCGTTACACAGCGCAGCCGAGCGTACCCTAGCATAGCATAGCGCAGCATAGCAAGCATAGCACACCCTAGCAGCAAAGCAAAGGCCAAACAACAGCAGCAACAGCAAAGCAAATCACAAGCAATATGTGTAGGTGTAGGTGTAGATGTGGATGTAGGTGTAGGTTTAGATATATGTGTAGATGTAGATGTAGATGTAGATGTGTATGTATATGTAGGTGTAGATGTAAATGTAGTTGTGAGTCTCGCTGTTGATGTTGATGTAGATGTAGATGCACGTGTATATGTAACTGTAGCTGTCGGTGTAGATGTAGATGTTGCTTCCCTAAATGCTCCAACTCCTAGGTAGGGTCGCACTGGGGTAATTAAGTGAACCCTCCCCGTCGAAGTAGAATACTCTGGCAGGTCCGAATTGCATCCAACACTGATGATACGCATCTAAGATGCTGGCCGTAGTTCCCTACCTAGGCTCTGCCTAGAAGGGTTCTTGCTCTCCGGGCTTAAGGGAGCCGGGCAGTGGAAAGCGCCCCGGGCGGTTCCCCCAGCATCCGCCCCGCG